GATCTTGAAGAGGAGATTTATATGAAGATCCCATAGGGTTTTGCTAGAAAGGGGGAGCATTAGGTTTGTCATCTTTGAAAGTCCCTTTACGTACTTAGATAGGCATCATGCAATCGGTATCACAAATTCACTCGGTCCTTACTTGCGTGGGCTTTACTCAATCATCCTTCGATCTTTCCTTATTCCTCTCTTCTTAGCATAATTCCTTTATGGTCGTTTTCATTTATGTTGATGACGTGATCGTTAGGGAGACCGATGCTTCTAAAATTGCTTAGCTCAAGTAGTATCTAGACGAGTGCATTCCACATCAAAGACATTGGCAAGGTCAAATATTTCTTGGTCTTAAGGTTGCTTGCCATCCAACTAGTATTGCCTTAAGTGAACGCAAGTATGTTCTCGACATCTTAACCGAATGTGGTCTAAATAGTTGCAAACCAGCCTTCTTCACCCATGGAACGAAACGAAGCTTGATCTCGACTTCGACCCTCTTTATGATGATCATGGCACATATCATCATCTAATCGTGCATTTACTCTATCCGAACATCACCCGGTTGGACATTAGCTACGTCATTTTTGTTTTGAGTCGGTTCATGCACTAGCCATGCCAACCGCACCTTGATATCGCTCTTCGGGTCATTTGAAACCTTAAAAGTGCTCTTAGACAAGGCATTTTCTTTTCCTTTGATAGTTTCTTATCTCTAACATGTTATTGTGATGCTAATTGGGCTGGTTGCTCGATTACTTGTCTATCCACCATTAGCTACATTGTATTTTTTGGCGCTTCCATGATATCCTAGTGTTCCAAGAAATGATCTATTGTCTCTCGCTCCACGACTAAAGTTGAATATCATGCCATGGCCATCATTGCTTGTAAGATAGTCCGGCTTGTTCGTCTTTTTCCGATTTAGGTGTTCCTCATCCTCATTCGATTCCATTATTCCGTGACAATCAGTCGCTCTTCATATTCCTACTAATCTAGTATTTCATGAGCTCACCAAACATATAGAGATCGATCGTCACTTTATTCGCTAACACATCCAATCAAAATTACTCGCTCCTCGATCCGTTTCGTCTCAACATCGACTCGTCGACATTTTCACCAAAGCACTTGGTTGGGATCGCTTTCCGGATTTGTTAAGCAAGTTGGGCATTTCCAATCTTCTTGCTTCGATTTGAGTGGGAGTATTGACGTTATTCTTGCCTATTCTATTATTTCATGCTTTAGGAAAATATATTGTACCAATACGGTTATAATCTTTTCATTATTAGACCATATGATTTTCCTTTAGTGCTAGGATCCTTTTCCTTTATTTATTTCCACCTCTTTTCTACTTTATTTGAACACATATATGATTTAAAGTTTTTTTTTTTTAATTTCACAAATAGTTATTCTAAATCCTAAATTTATTTAGAATATATAGCATATAAAATTTTTTAGGAAAAGATAAATGAAAATAAAATTAAATTCCACGTCATATCATTTCTATTTTTCGTTTATGATTAACCATCTAATTATATGTATAGTTTCCTTAGGATATAGCTAATCTTATGCACATATTTCATGTTTCGCATCACTTGAACAGACGACCGAAAAACACAAAAAGAAAATTTGTTGGGTCATACATAACTAAGAACAAAAGTAACTTGAGTCTTCTCTGTTCCTTAATTCTTTTCTAATTCATTGCAAGTTTCATTATTTGAAAAAAACAAACAAAAAAAAAAACAATTCATTGCAAGTTTTGAATTGTTAGGGTAAAAAAAAACACCATTAATATCAAAGATAAATACTTCATATGACTTTGAAATGGATTAAAATTGTAATTGCTTGATAATTTAGTATGACTTTGAAATGGATTAAAATTGTAATTGCTTGATAATTTAGTGATTTTAATCCCAGCTTTGGAAATAAAACAACTTTCTATATGACAAAGTACTTTTTTTTTCCCCGGTTCAAGTGAGAAGTTTGTAATTTTGGATTAAAATTTTCATTCTCCCATATCAAAAATGAATATTATGGGCTATGCCAACGCATAAATCGAATAAGATTCATAGACAGAGAAAAATAATCCAAGTAAAGCCATGAGAATTGCAAGATGAATTTTTAGATATCATATCAGCTCCATGTCCAATCCAAAATCGAGCCATAGCTTTCTCATAAGGACGGTTTGGCAGAAATGGACTACCAGGCCATGTTTCTTCAATGTATTCAAGGATGACAAGGGAGTCAGCAATCGGCTTTCTGCCATGAACAAGGAGAGGGATTGTATTTTAATAGCAACTCACTCTTATTGGAAAGATCTTCTTCTATGTACTTATACGGTACGGTACATCTTTTAGTTTCAGGGCCCATACGACTCTGTGAGGGTAAGCGCTGGACCCGAACGCATGTACCGTCACCTCAGCCATCGTTGTCATGATGAATTAAGATACAAGATATGGTGCTCGGATGTCAATTTATGATAAGAAGCAAGTTTGAAAATTTGGATGCAATTAAGAAATGTTTATTTATTTAAATAAAAGAAGCAGGATATGCATCTTGGAAATTGCTACACGTTTACTTCAACGAAACACGCATATATGATATGTCTATCGGAACCAAAACTCTTGTTTGTCCGTCATCTACTTATTCACACATGTATATAATTAATATGAGAAAAAAACAAATTTGGCTTTATCATATATATTCTTAAGTCTCACAAATATGAAATAATAACTACGTACTACCTTATCTTTAGCCTTTCACTGTTATACATCCTAGCTAGCTAATTTTATGTGTCCTATAATTAATATCAGTTTTTCGACGCCAGTTTTGACTTGGTGAATCAAGCATGTTTGAGTTGGAAAAGCTAGGCCAATTACGCATCAACACCCACACACAAAAAATATTCATTATTCTATCATCGATCCTCTTATTTACAGGATTTTCTCTTTACTGCTTGAAGATTGCGAGGTTCGGAAAGAGAAGGAAGCATAGATGGGGATTTTAATGGCAAACACAGTTCACTTGTTTCCTTTGGGAACTTTTTGTATGGTTAATTTCAAATTACCCCCAGGTTTAGGAAGAATTTAGTTTCTCTTTTTGATGTTTTAATTAATTTTTTTCAATGTCTCCCCAAAAGTTTCAAAATGGAATCAATTAATAATTTTTATTTTCGATCTCTAAATTTTTTAAACTTGATCAAATAAAATCTTTTCAAAAAAAGTCTGAATGATGTCATGTAAATCATTTATGTTTATGAATATAAATAAAAACCACAAAAATAGTACTAGAGTATATATCAAACTATAAATTATATGTGAAGATAAAGTTTAAACTATAGAGCTTATAAATAAATGAATAAATAAATATTTCATATTTTTTTCATAGATGAGTAAAATGTGTAATTATGTTGATCTGAGTGTCCACATTAATTGATTTTATCAAATATATTTTTCCTTTGTTAGTTAATGATTATACCCTTGTAACAGAGCATAAGTTTAGAAGTTATTTATCTTTAGACGTTAGACTCTTTAGTTTTAAAATTTTATTCTGTTGACATGGTCTTTTTAATTTAATCTTTCCTCTAATTTTTATAATATTTATGTTTTTTTTCCTTTATCTTCAATGCAAACCATATTAAAAAAGAGAGTGAATTTTAATTTTGTATATCATATTTTTAAATATAAATGATGTACTTGGTATCACTTGAATCTTTTAATTAGAGTAAAATATTTGATCTAATCAAATTATTTTAAAAGGATTTTATTTCACCAAATTTCAAAGTTTAGGGATTGAAAAAAATATTTTATACTGGTTTGGATAACTTGAAAGGAAACATTGATACATATTTAATTGAAAACTCAAAAAGAGACATTGATACAATTAAAATCTTAGATGCCTCTAAATCCACTTAAAATCTCAAGAAGAAAATTGAAATTAACCCTTTTTTTTTCCTCCCGTTTGTGGGTATTCTTTCTTCTTTATTGCAAGCTGATACAATTGGAATGGATTTATCTCGCATGAGAAATATGTAATTTCTTCCTTTACCCAAAAAAAAAAAAATGAAAATTGAAAAATGAAAATTTAAGTAAAATTAGTAACCAACTTTTGATGATGCTGTTATTGTCTTACAAATCAGGAGCGGCGGCACATGATATTACCCTACAATATCCCAGTACCAGGACGGAGCCGGACTCGACCAAGTCAAACCTTTTAACTTAGGCCCATGTTTGGAGCAGCCTGATTCTTGACCTACTTTCATGATTGGACCCATCTTGCTAAAGCCCTTGTCCTTTTAAATTGGGTTTCAAGTTCACTTAATAAACAATTTTTTTTTTTTAAATACACTTAACATGCTAAAAAAAATAAAAATCAAATCTACTAAAAGCATAGAATTAAAAAGTTGAAATTTATTTCAAAAAATAATTTAATTAATAAATTAGATTTACTACTATCAAAAAAATCGTTTAGAGGGAAGGAAATTACATTAATTTGACTAAAATTAAGATTCAATTTCCATTCCCGCTACATAGAATTAAAACATTAAAAGTTATTTCAAAAATAATTTACTTAATAAATTAGATTTACTACTATAAAAAAATATGGTTTAGAGGGAAGGAAATTGCATTAGTTTGACTAAAATCAAGATTTAATTTTCATTTTCTGTACATAGTTTCGATTGATGTGAAAGTTGATATGAGAATATTTTATTATCTGTAAATATCTATCTAATTTAGGATTTTATTTTACTTTTTTATTCTTTTTGATTTAACAATAAAGAGAACCATACTTAATGAATCTATTTATAGATATTATCGATAAATATTCAACCACTTTAAAGTGGAAGAATTAATAATTTAAAACACAAGAACATGGATATCAATCTGGGCTGCAATACCTACATCACTATTAGTATATCCAATAGAAAAACAAGGTTTGCACATACAGAAATCAAAAACAACATCTGAAAAAGAAAGATGAAACAAGCATGAAAATGAGATGCAAAAGTATTATAAAGATTAAGGGCGATAGTTCTTGGCTAATTTCTTCCTGGTGGCACTCACGTAGGCCAGCATCTTATCATAGTCAGGAATGTTTTCTTTAACCACAGGAACTTCAATGAAATTCTTAGCCCAAGAATACAATCGAGGTAAAGTGCTTGGCTCCAATACTTTTACACCACTTGCTTCTTCCATGGCCGCAAACCAATAAGCTAATGCTCCATACGAAATGTCTACAAGATTTATACTGTCACCACCAAAAAACTTCTTATCTCCAAGGCCTTGCTCTTCTAAGATTTTCAGCATCTCCCGCAATTCTTTTGCTGCCTTCTCGAGCTCTTCTCCGCTAGCTCTGTAAAATACACCGATGGGAGCACCCTAAATAATCATAGGAGTATAATTATTCTTTTCATGCAAAAAACAAAATAAATATTTAATAATGTTTAGGCCAAGAAAGTGAAAATAAAAGAAAGCTAGTGAACAGAAATTAATCTAATTCACCATTAACGTTTAACCAAGAGGTACGAAGAGAGTTGTCATGTATAGTGCTCAATTTTAAGTCATATTCACTTCTTGCTTTAAAGAACAAGAACTAAAAATTCGATTGAGATGAACAAATAAATGAGAGAAATTAGCTTACTTTATAGTCAACTTCAGGACTCTCTTTTTTCCTTGTTAATTTTTTCTACCACCTTCTAAGTGTTAACAACGAAACATTTTTTTTTCAAATAAAATTAAGGGTATCACCAAGTCACTTTTTATGCCTTGAGACTAAGAGATTTTTGTTGTGTAAACATTTTATATGAATTTTTTTTTTATGATGTTTGGTAAGTAATGGTTTGAAAAATACTGTGGTAGTGGAATGGTAATCACATGTTATGATGGTAAAAGTGAGTGACGATAATGATGGTAAATGATAAAAGTGATAACAAGAGTAATAATTATGATAACAAAATTATAGTGGTGGTATTTAAAATAATTAGATGATATTACGAACGAATTATTTTGTAAAATATTTTACTAAATTTCATTAACTAAAAATATTTTTCAATAAATAAACTAATTTAAAGATTGACTTTGTAAAATATTTTACTAAATTTCATTAACTAAAAATATTTTTTAATAAATAAACTAATTTAAAGATTGATGGTATATATTAACTAGGTTTTTTGTAAAATATTTTATGAGAATCAAACACAACAAAATCAAGAAAACATTTTCCAATAAAAAATTATTTTCTTAAAGTACTTCTTAAAATTCGAACCCCAACCTGGGATGACAAAAGAAAACATTTTGCAATAAAAAAATATTTTCTTAAAGTACTTCTTAAAATTCGAATCCCAACCTGGGATGACTAAACAAATTAATAGTTCACGGGAGTACAGATATAAAAAGAAAATGATGATTTGGTTTTGACCAATAAATAGCCATTGTATGTTTTATATTCAACAAATAATCCTTTTTACCTCAATGGAGAAAATTGAAGTTTAGGACAGCTATCTACTAAGTCAAACTAAACATTTTAGGCATCATACATAAACAGTTGAATAAAAAAATATGCCCTGAGGTCTGATCTATACCCTCACCTTAGTAACTCCATATTGAATCCAAAACCGAGCCATGGCTCTCTCATAAGGGTCTTTTGGCAGCAATGGATTCTCTGGCCATGTTTCTTCGATATATTCAAGGATGACAAGAGACTCAGCAATTGGCTTGCCACCATGAACGAGGACGGGGATCTTCTTGAAAACTGGGTTATACTTCAACAGTAATTCACTCTTATTAGAAAGGTCTTCTTCTATGTACTCATACTCCACACCTTTTAATTTCAGAGCCCATATGACTCTGTGATTAAAAGGGCTAGGCCAGGAACCATGTAACTTCACTTCTGCCATTTTTCTGATGAGATCTAGATGCAACGTCTGCTGCTATAACAATTCACTTTATAGTGATTTTTTGCTTGGGCAATAAGTTTAAGTTGGAAATTCTGGACAGAGAAACATTTTTTAACAAGTATTGACTTGACTTACTGCACAACTTTATTTATCGTTTTTATATATAATTTGGACATTGGTTCGCAATTTTTTTTTGAATAATTTTACATATGTAAATAGATAAATAGCTAACAAACTAAGATAAGATTCATTTAATATTGAAAATTCACATTTGGTTGTCAGTTAAGGATTCTCTCTCAAGTATTTATTATCTTTTTCTCTATTCTCTCTCCCATGCGTTTTCCTTTGTTAAGAGTTAAGATCTTAACATTGTATGAATGATTTATCCTAATAGTACATGACATTCATGCTTTTCTACAAAATCTTCGGTTTGAGTCTTTTTCATAATTATGAAATTTTTGTTTTGTGGCTTTATAGCCACTTAATGTATGAATGATATATCCTGATGGTACATTCAAGCTTTTTTTACAAAATCTTCAATTTGAGTCTTTTCATAAGTATGAAATTTTTGTCTTGTGGCTTTATAGCCATTAATCCGACACATTACCTATATCTACATAGACAATATACAAAAATAATAACTTAATCATAGGAGTAATTTTGCCGCAGTACCCTTTGACGCTAATATTTTCAGTGTTTGAGCTTCATGTGTGCAGGACTTAGAAAAATACCATTATTATTTTTTTAACCCCTCAAGAAGGCTGAATATCGGATATAATCAATCTAGATGCTCAAAATCTCATGCATCGTCAAGAGCGCCATCCTTAGAAATGATATTTTCATCCTATAATCTGGTAACAATGGTGTCTTTCTCCTTCATATGGTACTCACTTCACTCGATAAAGTATTGTCACTTATGTTGTTACATGACAAATGAGACTTTCAAATGACGAAGAAAAAAATTAAGAATTTTAGAGTTATCACTTAGTATCGAAAGAAATTACAAAATTTAAAAAGACTCCGAATTCATAGACTTGGGTAAGTAGTTGGTTATGCCACTAGAAAGATAATAATTACCTAGAAGCATCCATTCGAAGTGAAAGTATTGATTTTAATCTAATTTTAAGAATATCTCTTAAAAGTTATGTTTGTCAAATTATTTTCTAAGTCTATTTCCAAACTTGTTTTGTCGTCTAAGTCAAACTATTTTTTTAATCATATTAAATTGATATCGGATCCCAAAACAAAAAGTCTCATCAATTTAGTATTGGATCCAATTAAGTCTTGACTTGATTAGCACGTTAGGAATGACTTAGTAATTTAATGTGTTATCTTGGAACGTAGGATAAGATTGGCTCGTATCTAATCTTACCTAATTCACTTTTTTCAAAATTTTTTTTTGATTTCTTTTTATTTTCGATAAGAAGTCAAAATCAATGTCGGTCCCTAAAAAATGAAGACTCGTTGACTTGACCTAACACTCCTAAATAATCTAAAAGAGAATATTATTTTTATAATTACAAATACTTAATATGGGATCATCACCGATCCCTAGAATCTAGAAGACTTGATGATCTCACATCTAGCGAGATAACTCTCAATTCAACAATTAATATGTGAAACAATCATAAGCACAACATAAAAGAAAATACCAAAATAAATACTAAATGGAATCCAAATTCAACAAAAATTTTACGAAAACTCATTAACACACACACACACATACCCGATGTGTAAATTGATAGTAGAATATAAAAAAAATGCAAATAAATATCAAATAAAATTTTCAAATTACAAAATTTAAAACACAAGCAAAGAACAAGTATATGTACAACATATGCAAATTTCAAAACAAAATACTAAAGATAATCATGTCGAATAAATACATTCTCGAATCGGACCCAAGAATTAAAATTCTATGAATTTAACCCCAAATATTCCCAAAATGAAGGACGTGATTGTGATGACTAAGTACTATCCTTACCAATTTGAAGTAACCTAATAACTCTAAGGGCTAAACCCTATAGTAACATTGTTATCCAATTCAAGTAAAACACTAATTCTTTTCTTTTCTTCTTTCTTGCTAGGGTCCTACACATAAATATTTATTCTTCTTTTAGGCTTAAAGCTGATAGACCCATTCATTTTCTTCTATCTTCATTCCTTTTTTTTTTGTTATCATATTTCTAGACCAAACTCTTACTCATTCCCTTTGCCATTATTCTTGTTTTGTATGCCTAATCCAAGCCATTCATCATTTATTAGACATGTTTTTTTTTTTTTTTTCCTTCGCTACGACACACACACACACACACACACACACATATTCTTGTTTCGAGGCTTAAACTAGCGAGACCCATTCATTTTCTTCTATCTTTCCCTACTTTATTTATTTATTATTATTTGTCATCATATTTCTAGACCAAACTCTTATTCATTCCCTTTGCCATTATTCATGTTTTGTATGCCTAATCCAAGCCATTCACCATCTATTAGACCTATTCCTCTTTTTTTTTCTTCTTCCTACCATATATTCTAAAACCAAGACAAGTAAAGTAGACACATGATCAAACCGACTTTACTAGACCTCCTAAAGGAACTTATATTACTAAAAAAAAACAACAATATAAACCCTAGCAACATGTCTTATTGACAAAGGGAAAATAAAGATTTCAAATGAAAAACTATAACTAAAAAACTTGATTCTTACATATCATCAAGAACAAAAAGCCACGGATGAGATTCATGAGGGGACATTAGAACAACAACCAAGAAAAAGAGAAGAGCTTTAGGCTTATCTAATATCGAGACTAATTATAATAATGGGAGTGAAAGTAGATTCGGCTAGGAAGTTTCCTTTCTCCTTCCTTTTTTTGCTTTCTTTTTGTTATCTTTATTTTATACTTTTTTTTTCTCTCAATCTGTTCTCTATCGGGCTAGTGAGAGCAACCTTTCCTCCCTCCCTCTCTCTCCGTTTGTTTTTGCTCATGTCCAAAATGTTTAAGATACGCTTTTGAAGTCTGTAAGGAAGCTGCCGTGTTATAACTACACCGATTAAGTCCGGATGTCATGCCAAGTAAACTTTTAGCATGTTAGATTTTACATGTGTTAGATATAAAACTTCAAAGAGTCAAGAATGTTGCTGGTATAAAACTTCAAGGAGTCAAGAATGTTGCTGATCTTAAGGCTCAAGTCTGCTAAAGAATTGTTCTTCACTAAAAACCTATTTTCTAGGATTAGAGGCGGTATGTTCGTTGCATTAATTTCTGCATTTTCTATTTAGTTAGTGGTTGTTTTGTTTATGGACCATGATCATCATATTTTTTAGATTTTTTTAAAAATCATTTTGATCAATGAAATATTTAGATAACTTTTAACAAAAATGAATATATAGTATTAGAGCTTACTTTTTAAAGGGATTTGGGTGCAATCTAAGAGTGTGCGCACGAATGTTTCAATAAAAAACACCTTTCCTTTCTAAATTTTAGTATGTGTGCAAAATCAAATAAGTTCAAATAACTTTTCTCCAATTCCACCTCATATTTTCATTAATGAAAACTACTAGTCATGGGCTATCAAAATGACATCATATTTGCGGACATGGGATCTTTAGGAAGCGAGTGGAAGAAGAGCTAGTTGTTCCACTATTGAGTGATGATCTTATATTACAACAAATCAAGAATTAAAAGAAGAAATCATCCAAGTTTTTTAAAGCTAATACTTGCTTATATTCATCATTATCTAAAACATTATTTACTAGAATCATGAACCTAGAAACAATCTTTCAAATCTAGTAGTATCTTAAGCATGAATTTCAAGACGAGTACAAGAACAAGGTGCATGAGGGTCTTGAATCTTAAAAGATAATTTAAGCTACCGAGGATGAAGGGATTTGAGACTACAAAGGAGTGTGCGGATAGATTGCTGAAAATAATCAACAAACTAAGGCTTATTGGTGAAGCAATGTCCGATAGTAGGGTGGTAGAAAAGTTGTTAGTGACATTACCCGAAATATTTGATGCTATGATCTTTGCATTAGAGGAAATTAAAGACCTCACAAAGATCACATTGCTCGAGCTCTTAAATGTTAGCGTATGCCACTAGAAGCCAATTATAGTTTAATTGTACTAGCATACACTTATTATGTTATTGTATATATGAGGCATTCCATTTATTATATTTATTTATTTATGTGTTCTATTAAATGAAGATGATAAAGTCTCAAGAATATTACTATTCTCAAATGTCCCAAGTCATGTTTTTTTTATTTTTTGGATATATCAAAGGGATAATAATAAAACGTTAATACTCGTATGTGTATTAACCGATAACAATGTGTTATAGATATAGGACATCAAGTCAACATATAGGTACATGTTAAAGAACATGTACTAGACGACCTGCCATGAGATCACTATGTGGATCGTTATATGAGTGTCATAAGTTGGTTTTATTATGACTATGATGTACGTAGTCCTTTGACTTGAAGTCACATTTGTAATGCCCGTGACTTAAAACCCTCATAGAATGTAAATGTATTGTAAAGATATTTTATTTAATTAATAAAAGTATATTTATTAAATATATCAAATAAAGTTTAAACTTTAATTAAGAATAAAGGAAACATAATTATTATTGCAAGGAAATATCAATGAAATCGGGAAAGATTGAATTAGAGATTAGTATCATAAATTGTTATGTTTATGCTTTGATATAGGAGCATAATCGTAAAGATTAAAAGTTTAGATCCTTGATTGAAATGATTAAGAAACTTTAGAAACTTGAATTATCTTTAGAATAGGCCTAGGATGAGAGCCAAATTGATGGAAATTGTAAAGTTAGGGACTAAAATTAAAGGATCTAATTGTAAAGATTAAAAGTTTAGGACTAAAGTATAAAAGTGTGACACTTTGAGAGGTTTATTAATTGATTTTAAGGGATAAATTTTAGCTAGAGAATTATGAAAAATTTGAGAAAAAAAGGAAGAAAAGAGACATCAA